TGAAAAATTCTTCTTCGTGTGCTCTTTAACAATATAATCCGTATATTTCAAAAATGTACGTCTACTTCCAATGTAATAATAAATATTTATATTAAAACTATTTGCACAACCTTTTAGAATTAATTAAAATACTTAAATTATTCTGTGTTCTGGTTGCGTCTAAATTATAGAAACAGGAAATATATAAATAAAAAACGTGTGAAACACTTTAAAAATAAGAGTAAAGTACTAGCAGTAAGATAATATATTAACTAAATGTAATATAATAACATTAACAAATGTGCAATTTATGCAATATGAACCTTGTACATCTTTAGTAATGTTGCTTACATTTGCAATTCAAGTTTTATTTAGTGAATAGATTTTTATCTAATGTGAAATTATAAAACGCCTCTCGAGAAAAAACGAAATATACGAACTGTCTTACTTTCACTTGTGAATAATCATTTAAAAACTTTTACTATGCTGCAAAATTTCCGTTAATGAATCAAATATAGTAAACAAAGTTACATAAATTATTATAACAATTGATCTTCAAATGATCACGTAGTCACGTAGAAAAAAAATGTTACTAAATCCTGTTTCAGTAATAGGATGAATAAATAAGAAATAATACCAAAAGAATTTTTATCAGATATAAAATGTTGATATATTTCATTATTCACCCACTTTAAGAATCAGCATACAATCAACATGTTATCATCAGCAAATATATAAAATTCCTTAGCAAAAACAATTATTCATCTCAAGTAAATAAATTTATTTGCTCTAGATAAATGGATTTATACGAGTAATTGTGCCTAACCACATTTCAGGACAAGCCATTTTGTGAATTGACAACATCTTTGACTAATGCCACAAGAAATACCTATTAAGATTTTGTGAATTCAATTACAATTGAATGAGATCATGTGTTGACAATATAGCACTTCCATCATTTCATTTATAAGGAGATAAAAGAATTGAGGGCAATAGGAAATAAGATAAAGTTCGTAGTAAGGCTTAGCAAATATTTAATATTCAATATAGAAAACTATATAATACTCACAATGAAATTATTGGGGTACGATTTTATAATTACACGATTGGTGCGGCTTTATTGCCTTGAACGCTTGCATCAAAATGCATGGTAAGTAAACATAAACCGATTTAATCCTTTCAATAAACATACCTTATATTAGATGTTTCATTATCAAAATATATATAAGATTTTAATTAATTTAAATTTCATGAGTATTAAAAAAAATGTTTATATGTTCCAAAAAAGAAAAAAAAAATCGACTTTTCTTAATAAATGAATAAATAAATAAATATACATATATATGATTATAGTTTTGTCGACGTTAATACATGTCTGAAGTATTTTTTTTAACCCTTTTTTTAGAAAAAAACATTTTAATTTTCTAACATTTCTAATATTTTGTTATATAATCCACTCATTTATTTTTATTACTTTCATTTTGATTATATTGTCATGCTTTGTAATGTTATTTCATCCACAATTTTATTCATTTTATATAAAAAAATCTACCATTTTCTACTTTTTTTAAATATATTTAAGATTTGTTTAAATATTATCAAGATCATGTTTCTTGACAGATGTCCTGAAGATGAAACGTACCTAGTTCCGAAACGTCGGTAAATAAAGAAATAGTTCTTTTCAAAACTTTAAAAGTTTAAACGTTTAAAAAACTTTTCTGTTTTTTATTACATTTGGATTCTTTGTTCAAAGCTCTAAAACAATAAAAAAAAATCCTGGTGTGATACTGTATAACAAAAATTTCAAAAAGGGTTGCTAAATGATGACACAATCCTTGTCGTAACGTATAAATAAATATTTTATTATGATTAGCTGAAAATCAACATTCAAGATGTCTCAACGTCGAACAAAAAAATCTAAATCTTAAACATCCATCCAATAATAAAAAAAAATTCAATTCAATAAAACGTCTTTATTATAGTAGCAAACGTTTATAGTCTTGGTTTGACCCATCTTCAGTGCATACAAATAATTAAAAAAAAAAAAAAATGTGAACTCTGATTAATATAATTATAGTTATATAACAAATCTTGTTTAACAAATATTAAATTAAAATAAATAAATAAGGTAGATGTTGACTGTTCGGAAGTTTGTATGCATTTCAAATGCATTATTTGTTTTAATTTAATATTTATTAAACAATTTTTGTTATATAACTACATATGTTTATATTAGTTAGTGTTCACATTTTGTGCTCTTTTAATTACTTGTATGCACAGAAGATGGGTTAAACCAGGACTTGAAACGTTTGCTACTATAATAAGGAAATCAAAAATATTACTTTTAGATTGAATTTTTTTCAATATTAGGTGAAACATTGCAACTTGCTCCAGCTTCCATGCAAAACAAAACTGAAGTTTGCAAAAGACAAGTTGCAATATTTTATCTAACATTTAAAAAAAATCAATCTAAAAATATTTTTGATTTGAATTGACAAGAAATAGTGTAACAGTGTTATTATGAATTATTATTATGAGTTAACTAAGAACTTTCCAATTTAAATTGCACTGAAGATGGCATAAGATTATGTGTGGAAATAATAAAGATTTTATAAAATTCTACAATTTTTAATTGATGTATGGATGCCCTGAAGATTTAATCTCATATATATATATATATATATATATATATATATATATATATATATATATATATATATACAGTAGTAGCATGTGATTGTTGTGTTGTAAAATGTGATAGTTAAGTGTGTTTTTTCCTAATCTGGTGTGTATAATTTGTTTTTTAATTAATTTTTCTAATGTATAAATTTATTTTTCAAAACTTTTACTTTATATTGTAAATTTCTTTTAGCTGAATGATGAGACACATATAGTCTCGAAACGTATAAAAAAATTAAAATAAACTTTCTAAATTCGACGCATTGGCTGTTTTATTAAATTCAATATATGTATATATATATATATATATATATGTGTGTGTGTGTGTGTGCGTGTGTGTGTATATGTATACATACACATATGAATTTTATTTATTTATTTATGATCTAAACAAAAATTAATCAATACTAAATATTTGATAGTATATTTCGTAGTCCAACATATTTTCCTATTTTAATTTTACGAAAATATTATGTTAAAAATATTTGAAGTGCATAAACAACAAGAATGCATATAAAATTTCATATGATTCAAATGCAATAACACCTTGTCGCCGTGCACCTCGAAAACCCGGATTGAGTATATAACCTACTATGAAAAAAAGAAATAACATCGCCGCTTGTGTTCCAAATATTATAAAAAAAACCTATTCGAACAAATTAACAACGAACGACAGAATTTAAAAAGTGAAATCAACAACAAAAACACAAATAATATAATTTTATTCACACTTTGGTTATATATTTGAAAGAAAATCGAAGTATAGAAGCCAATCGAACGAGATGCAAATTTTATTGAATTTAGTATTACATAAAATTAATCGCTTATTGTACTTACAATGTATTTTATCCACAACACTTTCTAATATTCACTGTACAACGCGATTTAATGCTACACGTATTCTATTCTAATCGACCATAGTAAACATGCAAATATATATACGTCACATAACAAGTTCAAAAGAGACACTGGAGCGGCGGCAGCGCACGAGCGTCGAAACTGCACACTCACAAAGTCACACATGCCAACCATAAAAAGTGGCGACAGCTGGCCAGAGGCAAACGCACTAAAAATTCAAATTCAAATTCAAATACAGTGGCACTCCGCCTTACGAGCGACTCGTTTTTCGAGATACGAGCCGCCAAAAAAGCGTCTTATTTACTTTGTCATACGAGCAAAATTCGAGATACGAGCCGCCAAAGAAGCGATTTGTTGCTTGGGGATACGTGCGAGTGAGAGGCGTAATGGAAACTTATGAGGGTGCGAATGAAACAGGTTCATTTAATACCAATTGTAACTTGTAACAAGGATTCTCGTAGGTGAAGTATCATAAAAGTAAATTATTTTAAAGTTAAACATTTCAAATCATTAACATTAATGTTGTGAATTTGTTTGTGCAATGTGGGATAAAGTTCAAAAGTTTGTGGATAAAAATCACCCTGAAAAAGATGCAACTGGTCGAGCAGAATTATTTGACGAGACATATCCAAGTTATGTTTATTTATCTATTTGTCCAACTTATTTTCGCAATACTATAATAAATTGAGGAGAAAATTATGCTCATTGGATAGTTTTTTAAACGTAAAAACTAGTATAATGATAATTTTGTCATTTTTTATTGATTGGAGAATATGTTTTCAAAAAAAAACACAGTGCTGAAGTTCTTTTCAATGAATTTATATGGAAAAATGCTTCGGGATACGAGCAATTCGAAATGCGAGCATGGTTACAGAACGAATTGAGCTTTTAATTGCTATTTAATTTTGATTTATTCAAAAATATCATTTGCAGAATATACCATTTTTGAAGTGACTATAATTGTATACTAACAGAGCCGAAAGAAGAAATTTTTTTTGAGCTTTATAAAATTATTGCAATAATTAATTTTCATCACAACGCTGCTATATGAAATAATAAATTTGGTAATTTAATAAACTACCAAATTTAATTAATTTAATAAATTATGAATTTTAAACAAAAAGTATTTAAAACTGAATTGCCAGACAGACTGAATTTTTTAAATTTAAATACAAATAAAATAACAAATAGTGATTAGTTATCTTAATATTTCCAGAAATCTTATCATCTCAATGTTAATTCAATAATAAAATAAATAATACTAATTAAGTGTAATAGAAGTTGCAAATCCGTTTTTTATTCAAATTTTAAATGAAAAACTGATCCAACATTTAAATAATATTTATCAGACAAATGATATGTAAAACGTAATTTAATTAAAAAATAATTATTTTTGATTGAAATCATATTCATAACTAGTTTTACCACGTCTAAATAGTGTTTTTGTTTTCCGTAATCGTTATGAATATCTCTGACGCTGGGTTGACTTTTCGTTCGAAAATAGAATCGTACATGTAAACTGACTATGGCCCTAAAGTACTGTGTTGTGTGAAATTTGTGTGGGTTTGCAATGTCGGATATTGGCAGTGGAGACGAAGGGATTCCCAGCCAGAGTATGTACAAATAAAAACGTAGCATTTTTAATAAATCAAATGAAAACTAGCCCGACAATTTACTATAGTTATTATAACGCTTCCACTAGCGTAACAGAATATAATTTTGACATCTGTTTCAGATTAAATAGTTAAAAATGGCCGACTCCATATATTATCTTTTAACTATACGAAATGCAGTAAAATAATAAATTTAACTAAATAGGAATATTATTTTGCAACGAACTTGTGATATGTAGTACCCTTTGCCATTTTAATTGAATTTTGCGATTATTTACGGTTTCAAATATATCAAACATGTAAATTTGAATAAGGATCTAGATTCTATAGAATTAAAACACTATTATGTTTTGTTGAAAATTTTAGAATACCATGGCCAGGGAATGGATGCAGGAGGAGCGGATTTTGATTCAGGTGAGTAAAATCATTCAGCATTGTCACATTAAATTTGTTTTAAAATAAGACTTAAATTTTTTAGGATCACTTCTATTTTCTCATATATGCATAAGCATTAAGATTCTCTTAAATTTTTAACAATTTTAGGTCAGCAAACTGAGATAGAACTTGCAACAAAAATGTTGCAAATTCAAGCCAAGCGTTTCTATCTTGATGTGAAACATAATCGCAGAGGCAGGTTTATAAAAGTTGCTGAGGTTAGTAATTTTGAGAGATTTTCCAGAAATTTTTTGATTGTATATTTAAATTTTGATTTGAATGTAACCATCAACTTTTTTAAATTTGTAGATTGGTGCTGATGGACGTCGCAGCCAAGTATATTTAGCTTTGTCAACAGCCGCTGAGTTTAGAGATCATTTATCAACTTTTAGTGATTACTATGCATCCTTAGGTTGGTTTATTTGCATTCTATGGTATCAATCAATAATTTAAAATATGTATATATTTTGTATATTGGTTCAATTTGTTTAATAGGTCCGCCCAACCCAGAGAATGTTCCAGAAGACGGTAAGCTTAAGTCAGAGATGATGATAAAAGATAATCGTCGTTATTATCTTGATCTCAAAGAAAATTCCAGAGGGCGATTTTTACGGGTAAAAATTTATAATTATGTTGTTATAGTATTTAGTTCCATATCTTTTACTAATTAATTTATTTACATTAGGTATCACAAACCATAACTCGTGGCGGGCCACGCTCTCAAATTGCGATTCCAGCTCAGGGAATGATAGAATTTCGGGATGCACTAACAGATTTGCTAGAAGAGTTTGGAACGGATGATGGAGGGTTTGTTTACCTGAAAATACTTTATAATGATTTAGTTTTAAATATTAATATTTAACAATATTGACAATGGACAGATATAAAGGAGAACTTCCTGAAGGGCGTCACATGCGAGTGGATAACAAAAACTTCTACTTTGACATTGGCCAAAATAATCGCGGAATTTATATGCGCATTAGCGAGGTAATTACATTAACTGTTTAACAAACCCATATTACATATTATTCCTTTAAATTTAAAATAACATATGCACAGTTTCTAAATAATTATAGAGAAAAGAATATGAAATAGATAAGTGTTGATTTTAAGATAATAAAAAAAATTGTAGGTGCTAATTCATATGTTGATTCTAATGTATTTCATATTGTGTTTTGTAGGTAAAAAGCAACTTTCGTACAGCCATAACGGTCCCCGAAAAATGCTGGTCAAGATTCAGGGACATACTGGCAGATTATTGCGATAAAATGAAACATTCTGGTGAAGCTACCACCACAGAGATGGTTAATGTAGAACAACAATCCTCCAGTCTAAAATAAGGCTTGTGATCTTTTTATTTTTATGTTTTAAATGATTATTAGTGTTAACATCTACTATAAATGACAAGACATCGATGATGTAGAAAAATTATAAGCTTTTGTATATACTACATATGATGTAGTGGTATAAACTGGTGATATTAAATTATAATACATAATCGATTTGAATGTCATGAAAGTATTAAAGTTGATTACAAACAAATATATGATGACTCATTGGACACTAATAATTATGAAAAAATATTTTTCGGAATATCAAAATTGGATTTAGAACATGCAATTGATAGTCTATTGCGATGATTTTTGATTTAGTAATAATTGCACTCAAAGTCAAACTCATGTTGAGAAGTCAGTACTGTTGTGGAATTAGTTGAAAAACAAATTTAATTTTTTGTTAACAATTTTTAAAATGAATTAATTTAATGATTAAATGACGAAGTATAATTTTTTTTTGTGTATGTACAACATCTATTGAAAGTTTTGCATATTGATTTTGCTGTAATTCATTGTAGTCTCAGTCTTAGAATTAACATTTTTGTTACTTTTTTATAGTTTATTTTTTATACTGATTTTTATTTGTATACCATTTGTTAAATGAGTAAAGTATTTTAAATATTGTTACGAAGTTCTGAAACTTTATTTTTTTTATTGAATTATCACAAAAATACACATGTGCGGTACATACAGCAATGACAACTCGATTTGTAATGAAATATCAAGTATAATTTTTCTCATAATTAAACATAGACCATGAGTTCATCCAGTGTGTTACTAGAGAATATATAATTTAACAAAAAAAATGTTATGTACAAATTTAAATGTTCAAAAGGGCTTGTATTGAACAGAAACTTATGCAGTAATGTTTTGAATTAATTGTAGAAATAATCACAAAGAAGTTCATTCCATTTTTGTTATTACTATAAAAACAGTTAACCAAACTATAATGAAATTACTTTATTTCTTAGTGGAAAGTTTACTGCAGAGATCAAAGCAATTGTATTGGAAATCAATGTATTATATATATATATTTAACATTTTATATATATTATATATTTATATATACATCATTTATTGAAGGTACTTAATTTTGGTGAATTTGGAATTAATTTTGTTACAAAGGTATAAAATACCAATAATAGAATATATATGTGATGTTTTGTGATAAACTTTTGGCTTCGATGTGTCCGTAATACTGGTTTTTATGGATAATGTTATAGATTTTGATCTGTTTGTAATGGGCTTTGTGTTAAGCAAATTATTAATATAGGATATGCAATTATTTTTCTGTGTATAGTTTAAGAAAATTCTATCTCCATATTTATGAATGATACATTCAAAACTGACCCGTTAAGCGGTAATATAAAAAATAAATACATTTCATCAATTTAAAAAATGTTCAATGTTGCACAGTTACTACACATGTTAGGCCTTGATTTGAAATTTTACATAATTGGCTTTAGAGAGTCATTGCAAAATGTATTCACTTGGAATGATTGTAATTATTGTATACCCAGCATGGAGGTTAAAAAATAATGCAGCTTAATGTTCAACAGCAGGATTCATGGAAAGTATATAAGTACATGTTAGTAATGTGTGTATAGAATATGAATATTACACATCTTCAAATTCACCATTATGTACCGCCCATGTGAGTTTCATATAGATAAATATTGAAAATATAATTTATTTTACTAGGGTACATATATTAAAATACAAATATAATAATGTAATGAAAGTGTACTTTTAAATATGCTCAATATATTATTATATTTCTATGAATTCAGTCTATTATTGTTCTATTATTTCAGGTACGAAAATTATCAATATAATTACCCAGGATCAAAAATAAGTTTTCTTGTGCGATATTTAATTTATTTTTTCAGAATGAAAAATGAAACCGTTTGTTGCGTATGAATTTGTAAATATATAAATTTAAAGTGAAAAAATAATTATCAGTTATACTTGATTAAAGTGTGTGTATTTTAGACCGGTGTCATCGAAGCAATCAAAAATCCCATTATGGATTGAACCTCATTGTTTTCTGTTGCAATATTTAGCTTTTCATAAATCATTAATGAAATAATTCAATTTTTATATTTTTAGCAAAATTATTTATTAAAGCTACAGTTTTGTAATTAAGATTGATTTGAAATATCAATAGAAAGCCTTTGAATTTTCAAAATAAAAAAGTAATGTTATACATGATTAATGTGTATCAGATCAGTGTCATCATGTGTAAGTTAATCAAAACAAAAAGTTTTGTTATTGACTTCATACAATAATATGATAAAAAAAAATAATTTTAAAACTAATATTATACGTAAGAAATGCTGTCAAGAGAAAATAATATATTTTTGAGAACAAACTAAGTTAGTAGGATTCCAAATATGTTATATTTCTTGTCTTATCGTATACATGATTACCTTTTACCTTACAATCCATTTATTCCTAGTCTAAATAGTATGCATAATTAGTGTATTGCCACCATATCTCATCTAAAATTCACTGAGAACAACCAATAATATAAAACTTCATGTGTGCAGTTCAAGACATGACCATGAGATATTGGTAATTTTAGTATTGACCATAAACTCCCATGACACTTCTGTGATATAACTTCATCACAGCCTTCTTTGATAAAACTTCATGAGATTCTTCAATATATGAATGACAGCTGAAAATAGACTTTTATAGTTTTTGTTTTAAAATTTTACACATTACACTCATAATAACTTAGTTCTTTCCAAGCATTTTTGGTCACTACCCTAGACAATATTGGAATATAATATATTCATACCATTTAATAACACTCACCAAGCTGTAGCAATTTCAATATTTTAGCTTTGTTGCATATACTGAATACTATAAATTAGATTTCATTGTTGTAAACGAATTCCTGATTACAAACTTGCATTGCATTTATATTTGGCATTTCAATATTTTTTCATAAATATATACTTTTTTACATGCCTGTGAACCACAGCAACAATTTTTAATGATTTTTCTATTCTTATTCGCACTCCATTATTCCTTTCCTTTCAAACTTAGTGAGTTCGAGTATTTTATATATATTCTGCAAATATATTTATCCAAACAATGTACTTTACTCATGTTCATGTATTTACAAAAATATGCTTATTAATAGCAACTTGATACATAATATATCATTAATATTAAAATATTCTATATGTTGATATTTAATATATACAAACAGTTCTATGATAATTTTCTTAAAGTTCTCTTAATTTATGTAGCATGCTTTTATGGCATTAATTATCCGTAACTTGAATAATCTATGAATATTTGAATAAATAATTATTAAACTAATTGTTTTGCACATATATTATAAAGAACAGCAAATTCTTTAGTTTCCTTTTGAACAAATTTTTGTAAATTTATAAATTATATAACACTTTTTTAATATTCCGCAACCTATTTACATAAAATAACATAGCGCGAATAAACATATACATAGTTTTTTATATGTTTTTAAACATATAGACTGACACAAACTTTCAAACACACACAACTACACATATACACAAATACATATATCAGATAACTGAAATTATATTATTTGGTATATATATATATATATATATATATATATATATATGCACATACATACATACATACATACATAACATATATTATAATGGACCCTCCAGAATATTTAAAAAAATTTATAGTTGTACAATGTTATTGAGCATTACACTGATTTTCTTTTGTCTTTTTACAGGTATTGTCAAGGAATACCAAAAATATATAAATCATCTAACATACAAAATAGGAATCGCATAATATATAATAAATATACTTTCAATATCAATAATCATCATAAAAAAGTATATCGTATTTACAATCATTCCCCAATACACAAAATGCATATTTTCAATTGCAGACCCTGCATATTATCAATTTATAACACTATAATTAAAATGCATTAACATTTAATTTAGACCTGTAATTGAGAGGAAAACAAATGTTTTTTTAAATACGAATTTTTGAACCTCTAAAAAATGCTAGATGTGACAAAGTATTTTAATCATTTCGTTTCTGCATTTAAGCCTGTGTTTTCTGCACAACATAATATTAACATCAAATACACAAGTGATTTTTATTTCTTAGACCGTTTTCTTATGTCACATTTTATTGCCTACATCCTAAAAACAAATCAATGCTAAGTCACTTGCAAATATAAATTGCAAACTGCATAACTATGCTATGTATATATGTATATATGCCAAGAAAATATTAAGATTTTCTTATACATGCAGTAATCTCCATACACATTGTTACAAAGTAAATGATGTAACAAAATATGCTATAAACAAATTAAATAATAATAATCAATAAAATGAAACCTGTGAAATAATCAATTCACAGATTTTTGTACATTGTAAATAATCCAAGTCATAGTATCTGCAACTGATATTAATGTAATATCAATTAAATATTAATTAAAGGATTAACATGTGTCAGTTGATCTACAACTTTATAAATAATTTATCAAGGAGTACAAACATGTATGAGAAAATGCTCATAATTATTAATATTTCATTCTTATCTTCATGTTCATCATCATCACCATCTTCTTTTAGAATAGTAAGTACAAATAACTTTGATCAATAAGTATAATCAATAAACAATTACTAAAAATAGATCTTTGTGACAAACATTGGTACTATAATTTCTTTGGGATACTTTTTTTTCAAAAGCATTAAATAATTTACTTACTTTACGATTGTCTATAAACAAAACATATATTTTAGACCTTTCAATTTGACCATAATTTATAAATTATAAAACAAAACATTATTGCTTTAAGAACAATTTGTAAAAGCAGTATATAATATTTACAAAATGTTATTCAGTAGCATTGATAAAAACTGTACAGAAATTAAAAAACAAACTCATTCTAAAATCAGAGTAATCACATTTAAAATATATCCTGTTCATAATCCTAACTTGTCATTTCTAAAAAAATATTTACACAAATTATATTGCTAAAGATATACATATAAATAAATTGCAATATTCTCATATAGGCTGGCTGCTTAATGCACAATTATATATATATATATATATATATATATATATATATATATATATATATATATATATAAATTATTTATTATTTTCCATTTGTATGCGTATGTATATGTGTAATATAATGTTTATTTCCATATACATTTGGTCATTGTGATGTGAAACACTTTACATTTACGACATAGATTTGAAGCATATAATTTTATGATTGATTGTGCTTGGGATCACTGTGTGCATAAATACGAAAGCTACAAATATTTTATAACAATCAAAGATAAACATAAATCATCCGAATATATCTGTCATTATTTTTATATCAGATCTTTAAGTTTCTGAATTCCAGCACGAACATAACACACCAGTTCATTAATTGAACTATGTAATGTCAATGGGCCGCACTTTTGCTCAATTTCAATGAAGAAATCTAAAAAAAGAAGGAAATCTATATGAAAAATAAATATTAAGTAATCTAGCCAATGACTCTTTATGACTACTTAATAAATAATTTTTAAATCTATAATCTTCCATTAGAAAATAGTTAGCTGCTGGCTAAAAGTTATATCGAAATGGATATCATGCCATTAACAGTCAACTCTTAATTAAAATTTCTCAATAAATAATAACCTATTATTAATTTTAAAACCAAACATTTCGTATATTGGGCAGGTTCGAACATGCATAAGCTTGAGAAACTGTACCAGTCATGCACTAACAACAGTAGTACGTTTCTTCACCACTCATGCTGTGTAAAAAATATAAACATTTTATAGTACATTGCATGTATCACTGTGCCGTATTGTAGATCAAAAGTGTGATACATTGTGTGTACCATCAGAGTAACAGTTCTTTATATTTTTTCACCTGCATTATCACTTCAGGTTAGTAATTTATTCAAACCATTATTTCACACATTCGTTAGGTATACAACAAAACTATTAATAAAATTATAATGTTGTTCGGAAAGTCACTTCGTTTTTTTACCACCTAAATTTAACTATAATTTTTTGAACCTAACATAACACTTAAGCCCTAAAATTATTATATATTACTTATATTTTAAGGCTCGTGTGTAAAAAATTCTAATCAATTACATGCAGTAATTTTTGGATGGTGCCACTTTAAAAACGAAAAGAATTAAGCAGCATTTTCGACATATTTTACTCTTTTGCTATAAAAAAGACAAAAAAAACTGTTTAGGTCAAAATGAAATTGATAAATGTGTATGGAAATAACGTGTTGATAGTACTACAGCGCCAAAATTGGTTCGCTAAATTTCATTCCTGGTATTTTGATGTCCAAGATGCACCAAGTCCAAAAATAGCACGGTTCATGCTGATAAAGACGCGAGAATGGAATCAGTTGATGCAAACCGACGAATAATAATACATGAGATCCCATTGATTAAGAATTTATCAAATTTAACAATTCATAACCACTCAAAAGGTCTGGGATTTTCCTCAAAACTCAATGTGTGGTTCTCATAGAGAGAAACATGGGTCGTCGCACTGGCGTCCGCGATTCGCCTCTGAAAAGTCTTAAAAATTCTCAGGTTTTGAGGCGAATTGTCACTAGGAATTTCAAATGGGATGTTAACAATACAATACACGCAATCGTCCCATAAAACAAAAAAGAAGAACCTGCTCAAAACAGGTGCAAAGCTGGAATTTGCCAGAAAAAGGTGATGCAGTATGTTTGGTAAGATTTTAAAGGAGTCATTTTTCAGCTTTTCCAGGATAACATAACGGTTAATTCGGATGCTTTATGTCAGCTGGATAAAATAAATGATATACTTCAATAGGAAAGGTCAGAATTAACCCACAAGCAAGGTGTAGTCCTACATCAAGACAACGCAAGACTTTATATAAGTTTGGTCAATCGCCAAAAGGTTTTGAAGCTTGAATGGGACCCAACGACACATTCATCATATTCTCCAGACCTGCAATTATGGGATTATTATTTGTTCCGGCCACTAAAAAAATTATTAGGCGGTAAATCCTTTACCTCAAATCAGCCTGTCAAAAAGTACTTTAATCAGTTTTTTGCCAATAACGACCAAAACATTTATGATTTCAAAATTATGCTAATACCAGAAAATTAAAAAAAAGATGTTGGATCAAATCTGCCATACACAATTTATTAAAGTAATTGTTTATGGTACAAAAATTATGTGCCACAATGTCTGTAAAAAACGAAGTTACTTTCCGAATAACCCAATAGAATATACAATTAGTTTAATACTTCATAAATATACATAAAACAAATTCATATTTTTAACGCTGTCGCTACAAGCGTCGTCTATAGGTGACATTCGCTTGACGACATGTGTAAGCATGTATCCTATAAACGACATTCAGTGTGTTGACTTTTGTTTCATGATAATTAAGCCTGATTTAAATTATTGAAAATACTAATTGGTTATTGTAAATTCTAATTAATAGTTTTTTTTAGTAGTGCAATTGTTAATTTTGAATAATTACAAACAAAAATACTTGGGCGGCTGGCTGAAAAACTCTCCTACCGAAAGGGTTAAATAACTCATAAGTGTATTCCAGAAAAAGGCTGGAATTTACAGTTCATGAACAAATATAAGATGAATATAACAAAATCAAGCGGAAATATAAAACTAGCAAATAAAATTTACAAATAAAATAATCCCATCTGTTTAAATTAAAAAATATGTTTTTTGACAAAGTTGATCTCACTGATTTCTAATTTTAGATTAGCGATTTCATTTTTTATACAAACGAAAAATCTTCTGCATTAGTACAAAACCTTGCATTAATAAAAAAAAAAAAAATACATAATTTGTAATATCACTTGAATATTCAAATTTTTGAATAAAATGAAAGGTAAAATCTGTAAGTGAATTTAAAAAATTCTCTGATGGTAATACGAAATCCTAAATTTAGTTTAAAAAAAGTGTTTACTTTAGGTAAAGTCTATATAAAAAGCTTGATTACTTGATAAGCATCAAACACTCATTTTTGCTCACTGCTTGGACGTTTCTTTTCCCTTTATCTTTGAAATAGTTTTCAAATCAAATCTAAAGTTCAATGGTAATATATACATTGTCAATAAGAAACTATTTTTTTTAAACAGTCCTGTTCTCATATACATATATATTACAGAACCATCATATATATTTTTAGCATCATTCATATTTTTTATACACCATCATACAACACACATATACATGAAAGTTCTATCAATATCAGTGCAAATAATAAAAATTAGAAAACATAGAAATGTAAGTATTTGGAATCAAAGATTAAGATAAATTACAAATAATTTATCACATCTTAATAATAAACTTACCTTTATGTTTGCCTTTAATAACGAAATGGTCGGCCTGGTCCCACAGTTCATGGCAGACAATAAGATAGTTCAAGTGAAATGTTAACTTCTGCATAGCCTGGTTTGCTGATATAGGTACTGCTACACAGGGACCAGCATTGCTACCTGGAGGACAACCCGAACTATAACCTGAACATTTTAAGTCTTTTTTACAATTATTATTAATATTAAAAAAAAAACATTTTGGTATAAAGAAAATAGCTTGTATTACTATTGTTTCGTAATATGTTAGACTAAAATGCAATAGTTTAAAATAGGAAAAAATAAAAAGAATACGCTATCAAAAGTGAACGCAGGTCAACAAAAATTGTGTGCACAAAACGCATACGTAAAGCAAAAAATAGAATTATAAAATAATCACTTAGAAAAAACAGAACTTGAAAAAAAAAAATATCATCCTAGTTCACCTGAACTTTGGGAGCAAACTGATCCAACGGATCCGGCCGGCGAAGGAGTAGGTGACACGGCAGACGGTGTTAGTACTTGTTCAGGATTTACAGTTTGTGTCAAGTTGGCTTGCTGTAATAGTATCATTGATATTCTGATATTCGTAACAATGTCCACAGTCAATTGTAGCTTTTACCAGAAAGTACTTTAGTAAATAAACTAAGCATGCTACACATGTATAAGAATTAACTTGTATCTTTATATAATCGTGTTTAATTGTTACCGCTACAATTGATAGTAGAATAATTAAAAAAATTACCTTTTGAGTATAATCTGAAACTATTTTTTGATATTCTTTGACTTCATGCTTTCTCATTTTAAAAAGTTTCAGATGAAGTAGTGATTGACATCTAAAACTGAAATTATCATAAAAATAACTTATAGTATCTTGGAATTAATCTATGATACATATATGTAGTTTATAATATCCTACCTTAGCACTGCTAATTTGTTATGAATATTACCTTCTGGTGTATTCTGAGTATTTCTAAATTTTGAAGATATAAACCTAAAATCAGAGTAACATCTTTAGAGTTATAATACTAGATACACATTCAATTACATATAATACATTTAGCCACAAATAAAGAGAAACTTTTTCATATACGTACTTGATCAAGGATAAAGTATCCTTATACATAGTAAAGGCCGATTTTTCAGTAACACTTTCTTTTTCCATAGTATAACCCGTTAACAAAAAATATAATACTGCCTCCAAATACAACATGCCTTGTGCAGTCTGATCTGTTTCTCTATCAGCTAAATGTTTTAGTCTCTTTGCTTCAGTCAAATAAAGATTCTGGTCACGGCTGAAATTATTATTTTACTTTGAAATATATAATATGTTTACAGAAGGACTTAGAGTAACATCAAAACAAAAATTTTATATGAAGGATAGATCACCACAAATTCAACATTTATAGATAAAACTTACGTTGGTTTTTTCTCTAGACATTCTAGAATTTTTGCTCTGTCCAAGCTATATTGAGAATTATGCATTAATATTTGTTTTGAAAAAAACCGATTTTGTGTTAATAAATTAAAGAAATTTAATTGAAATTAAGCAAACATTATTCCTAAGTTTTAAATTTATTTTAAAATAAAATATTTGTGTTAATATTAATGTAAACATTTTCAAAATTCATAAAGTAGAAAATTTGCATATTTTGTTCTTTCATTAAATTAAACTTACATAAACAGAAAAAATATTCATAGAAGGATATACCAAATAACCCAATAAAAATCAAATTGTTGTTTGTAAGAATTGTTAATATAAATTTTATGCAAATTTTCTATAGCAAAGAAATCATTATCAATTTAGAATTTAGTTTTTGTTATTACTTTAATAATTTCTGAATTATCAATGAAATGTGTAATAATAAGGAATATGATAGGCTAATACTCACATTTCATCTTCACAATGGGAGTAATCATCAGGCAGTCGTTCGAAATAAGAGTAGTATACTTTGTTAGTAGGAGCAGCCCACATTTCAGGCCTTTCGATTTGTAGTGCACTTGTACCGCTATCTGATAAACACGGCAATCGGTCGTGACTAGTTACCACGGTACTGGTAGCCTCACACTAAACACAAAGTCACAGATTGAAAAGCAACTAGGTGCAAGTGTCATTCGAAAACGATTTACTTAATCAATAACTATTGAAATTTGGCAACTTTTGAAATTATGACGATGAAAATTTCAACAGTTTAGATCTAATAAAAAGTTCACTTCACATGACGCGAATGTGCCTCATGTCAATGCATTTATAACACCCATTTGCCATGTGGATGATGCGCCTAGCGCGTCACCCTTATTTCTACCTGTATGAAAGATCACCTTGTTTCTACCTGGATGATTTCTTGAGTGAATCATGCCTAATATTCCGTAGTAAATGCGTTAATACATTCTAACCTTTCGTTAGCCTGGAATAATGTACGATGTTCGTTTAGAACAGTTAGTGATTTCTAAAGTGGTCCATATGAACCCCCAAGGGTTTACGCCAACATTCAATACTTTGACTTCAACAAAAACAAAATTGGTTTCACAAAATGAAAATGGGTCCATTAAAGTGGATGTCATCGCACCATGTTAATAAATCATATACAATATTTATAGAAAAGTAAAAGCATTCGCTTTTTGTTCGCAATATTTTTGGGCTTTTATTAAAGACCGATGTCTTTAATAAGGACCTCGGTAAGATTTTTTTCGCTTTTTGAAACAGTTATAGTATTTCTGTATACTCAAAAATCTTAAAATACGGTTTAGTTGAATAATTGAAAATACAAAGGAGGTTGAGCGTTATTATCTATCTCATAACAAAAAACAATGTAGACTGGTTACGAAGAAAAGGATCTGCCAATCTTTACCAAAAACTAATCAGCATCCTATTGATATATTTTATTATTTTTTAAATTCTCAATATCGGTTCAAGATTTTTTCTGAAAATGTTAAAATATCTGCTAATTTTAAAGAAACGGCTGTAATGTAGCCGCTAGACCGATCGTTGTCTAAACTATAATCCAACCCTTTCGTTACGGGTGCCGTATATATATACGGCATCCACGGGTCGGCCTGTGGGTACGGGTGCCTTATATACCTCGTTTAACCCCGTTTAATGCTGTATCGTTTAGCGTTGTTTCGGTTTAGCGCTCTTTTATTTCAACCCAGGTTTTGAAGGGATAAAAGAGGAAGATGTTGAAGAAATAATTCAAGAAGCAGCGCAGACTTTCTAATGGTGAGCTCAAGAAATGAACTGAACAAGAAGAAAACAAAAATGTCGACAGCAGTGATTCAGCGGAAAAGCAAAAAGAACTTTCGATGGCGTTTGTAAAAAAGAGTTTGTCTACCGTAACAGAAATAATTGATCAATTCATTGAAAATGATCCGAATTTTGACAAAAGCTCTAAAGTAAGGCGTGGTGTTAGACATGCTCTTTTATGATGAACTTTTAAGAGAACAACGCAAAAGAAAAAGTGATACAACATTAGATGTTTTTGTCACAAAAAGGAGAAACACTAAAAACGCGGAAGACTAACTAAATATGACTGACTTAGAATGTTATTTGTTTTTCCAAGAATATTCGTTTTGTTATTTATATTTTGTTTTTATTTTTGCAAGAAATAATAATGTGGTATTAATTTGGGATTTAAGAAATAAATGTTTGGTTTTATTTTTAGTAAAAATAACATACTTTTTAATTTAATACCGAACCAATTTCCGAGCCGTCTTCCCCTAACTGCAATATTTTCATGTAAAGATAACCTCGTTTAGCGCTGATTCGCATTGCCCCCTCTTTGATGAAACGTATCCCCCGCGTTAAACGGGGTATTCCTGTATCGGGCATCCACGAGGCGTTCTGTGGGTACGGAAGCCGAGTACATACGGCGGCTTGCATATGTATGTATATATGTATGAAAAGTATAATTTCTATAACAATATGAAAAAAGTGAAGATATGAGAGAATATTAAGGTAAAATTGACGGGCGTAATAGCAAACACCAAAGACTATCTCTTTAGGGCTAAGCAAGTCCTTATCGATTTACATCAAAACGTTTTTCACTTTTCGAAACGGTGAAACCGTTTTAGAGAAACCTGCAATGAAAGATCAAATTTTGGTTCACGCGCCACACATACACTCATTTACATTCTTAACCACACAAACACACGCGCGGTGTTTTTCCTATTTTGGCATCAAACGATTCAGACCGACTGTATGGCATCGTGCCTTAAGGCAAATTGCTGGACTTCCCATACTGTAATGAAATATTCGAAGAATTTTGAATGTTTTCAAATGGATCATTATAAATACTGTAACTTTCATTATTTTTGGTATCTTGTTATATTCGAATTAACACTGTAAGCAAATCAAATGTGAATCATAAATCAATTTATCTCGAAGTTTCCAGAAACATTAACAACAGTCATTTCATTACTAATTCAATTTCAACAAAATAGCGTATAATTTACACTAAATTGAAAAAGTACTCCAGTATAGTTACAATCTAAACGCATTTCCAAATAATTTTATGCGACATTTTTACTTATACTGTGCTTTGCTGTTAACTTCCCGTAGGGTAAGTTCTAGTTTGAGTTTAATCAAAAGTTAGCGCATTTAATCACGATTGTAAAATAATCTTATTTATAGTGAACGTACTACCAGAAATTATTTCTCATTTTTCATTTTTAATGACTAATTGGAAATTTTTCTATTCAATGATAGAAACGATCACTGATTCGTGCACTTCTTCGTTATGCTTAATTTTTTCTGCAAAGTGACTATATAAATCGTTATCTACCAGGATTCAGCTGTGTTAAATTACCATGATTACCTGCATAAATATGCCACTAAGTTATTTAGTTAAGGTTGGAATTCAAATAAATTGATTGCACCAGATTCATTGACTCCCTACTTAAAAGTTTAAAGGCAGAGAAAGTAACTGCAACAATTTTGTTCAAGAACATAAGTTGAATTTCTGAAATTTTTAACTTCCCGTAGGGCAAGTTATAGTAATCGCAAAAAAATCGAAAATGAAAATTTTTATATATCTTACGTTTCAAAGGTTTCTGAAAATTTTGGCATACCTTAGAAAAAATTGATGTATATATGTGTGTGTTTGTGTGTGCGTGTGTGTGCGGATGCAAATTTTCGTCGACGATTTCGAGAACAGAGATCAACCGATTTTAATAATTCAAAAAACAATCGATTCCTACTGATAAGGAGACGTGCTGATTAGTTTTTTGGCAGAGGCTGGTCTAGCCGTACAGAAGATACGGGGCAAAAAGTGCCAAAAACGGTAACTCAGTTTTTAAGAGAACGGAGCGTTCGATTTTAATAATTCAAAAAACCATTTGGCGGTCAAAAATGATCATTAGACATATGCACATCAAATTATCAGATATTTTATAGATATTGTAATAATCTGTATCAATTTTGTTTACATTTCTATGAGTTCCGCAACATCGTTTGCCCGTAAGACGGCTACGCGGCGATTACGCGCTTCTATAGTTCGTCTAATGCAACTAAAGCAGTGCGATTGCTTTGAAAGAAAGTTCAAAATTTCCAAATTTTTCAAAATACAAAAACATTTTTTATTTCATTACATTTATCAATAGTTTTCACAAAATTAAAAAGCTCTCCCGTGTCTGCACAATCTAACTTGCGAAACCATTTGTACCAGGTTGTCACTTAGCGTCGCTAATTTTTCGATTAATATTCGAATCATTTTCGATACTCGAAACTTTTATCGTACAATTGCATATATAGGAGTTCCTTATTCGCGCACAAAAAAAATGCGACCCAATACCTATATTCACGGCTAAAAATTTCCTTATTTGCGGATTCCAATATATTTCGAACCCAATATCCTTTGCAAATGCTGTCCTTTTGAACTAATAAAAACAGCGACATATAGACAAAATTTGAAATAATTTTGCAAATCATATTAGAAAATAAAATAAATACTTTAAATTTCGAATGAATAACAAACTTTTACAGGCAATTTTTCAACTGATGTATTGCAAGTACAGCATTTCGACCTCTATCTCTGTTTTAAAAAGTTGACAAATGAGGAAATGTACAATTACACATACCTGCACAACATGAGATTCTGATAATGAATCATCAATTTTTTTCCTCTTGGTATCTTTGTCCTTGCTCTTCTGTTCTTTATAAACAGCTCGATGGCTTTTCTGCTTATGACTATAACTACCTGGTGTCACTGCCGTCGAGCTGGAGCTATTACTAGAAGTCCTTTTCCGTTTGTGCTGTGAAGTTGACTTTTTATTTTTTTCTTCACTGTTATAATTTATACTTTTTGTACTAATTGTGATTGCATCTTTATTAGATTTTGGTGGTTTCTCTTGTTTGATCTGGTTTTTACTTATATTTGTATTATTTGAATATCTAGTTTTATCCACGACAATCTTCTCAATGTTAGTTAGCACTGTTTCCTTCTGGGGAAGGGATTTGGCAATTGCATCATAGTTTATTTGAACAGGTTCAGTTTTAACTTTGACAGCATTGCTAACTGACAATGGTACTGGTATTTTATCAATAATTTCTGTTTTAACCTTTGGAGACGGAATATTATTTATTTTGCTAAGAAGAATTTTGCACATCAGAGAAGGTCGGCCATCTGGTTTATTTGTGAACATAGGGAATTCTATTTGAGGCTTTTTCTCTTCAACTTTTATACTGGGCACTACAGTTTGGTCTTGTATCACATTAACATTTTTCTGTTGTTCGTTACTTATGTGGCTTCTATCACTATCACTTTCGACCACTAACACTTGGCCTTTACCTTTACCACCGCCTTCGTTCTCGCGTTTTATAGAAAATAATTTCCTAAGGGTATCACTTTTTTTCTTGTCTTGCACACCTTTGTTTTCATCAGATTTTGTCTCTTTGGTAGTATCACATGCACAATTGTCAACGTCGCTGCTTAGACTATCACTGTCCGATTGCACTTTCTTTACCTTTTCAGCACTAGTAACAATAGATGTTTGGAATTTTCCACCATCAGTGTCTTCTGAAGAGAAGCTATTTGTATCAGTATTCACCACAGGCGTCTGGACAGACTTTCTCATAGATTTTATAGACGATGACTTAGTAATTCTAGCAGATGCCATATTTTCAGTCTTTTTTGATAAATTATCATTACTTCTACGATACGAGTCGTACTTATTGCTACAAGTAAATTTCGCATTGTCTTCCGATTCACTGTTCATACTCCTATTTGTCTTGTTATTTTTATTTGGGGATGGTTTAGAAATATCTGTATCATCACTACTACTACCGGAATTCACTTTAGATTTACTTTTAACGGGTCTACCCCTTCGCTTATTTTTCTCATTTTCTGATCCACTGATGGAAGGTCTGGACTTATTAGGAGGACGGCCACGCTTCTTGGCTTGTTTCTCGCTGTCTGAATTAGTTTGTTTGATTTTTTTAGGCCTTCCGCGAGTCTTATTTTGCTTCTCATCTGAGACCGTATCTAGTTTTTCCATTGAAATCTTTGATAACCTGTCATCACCGGAGACAGCTTTAGTCGACGATGAAAAATCGTTTGAATGAGTTGGCTCATCGTCGCTCGAGTCGGAATCTACTAAACTAGGCAAACGAGTCTTAGTACAGCGCCTTTTCTTCCTAGTATTGGCTTTTGAGTATGTATCATTATCACTATCCTCTAAACTTGATAGCAAACTTTCAGGTTTTATATTCTTAGCTTCAGCTAAGACCTCTTCAATATCTTTTGTGCAACTGAAACAGTCTAATTCATCTGGTTGATTTTTTGAACTTTTTTGAAATAATACTGATGATGGAGGGCATCTGTCTACATGCTCTATAGTGTTTGGTATGCTGGGAGATTCGCGAGTATTCTCGGTTTTATTAAAGAAGGAAGCTAAATTCCAGCGAGTTTTCGATTCAGTTTCAATTTCAGGTAACGGAGATACTAAGGCAGGTGTATGCGTCGTACATATTTCTGGATCTGGAAATAAGCCGAATATATGCAAGTTATGCCAGAAAATCGGATAATTTAGGTTCAAAATAAATTAATATAAAAAACACTAGATCAGATCATTGTAACTGATGCAATTTATATCATGAGAGTGTTTGAAAAGCTCACATTTTTTCTGTTTAATACCGTGTTCAACAATTAATATATTTAAACAATATATATTTATAAACAATATACCATAATAATTGATATAGTCAATTGTAAAGATTTCATTTACTGAAATTGAATTTCTAAATACACAAGCTTTCATGCAAAAAATAGTATAAATTATAATAAATAATAAATTTATAATAAATAAAAATAATAAATATACTTCATTCTTGCAACAGTTAGTTATTTTACAATTTCAATTCATAGGTTGAGAAATTAAATAATAATTATTTGTTTCAATCTAATTTTAACTATACTTCACTATTTATAATTAACTTTTTTCATAGTTATTAAATTAATTTGAAATATACACATATATATGAATAAGTTCTTCATGGGCAATACATCAAATAAAAGAAAGATTTAGAAGTTAATCTTTAATTTTTCCAAACGTTTTGACATCGGATTTTATGTTATCATCAGTGGATATAAATATGGTCTTACATCCGTAACTTGCGCAGGGCACATAATTTTACACTATCATATATACACTAACTTGTTTTTTCTTTGTATTTTGTTGAAAGGAGCATAGCAAAGTATTTGTAAAATATATATTTTGCACCAACTTGTTAGCTAATGTGTATGACTTCGAGGCAATAATGCACACATGCACAATCACACACACACACACACACACACACACACACACACATATATATATTAACATATATTATATACATATATATAATTTAAATTCATACCATTTTTAGTAGGTGCAGTTTCTTCAGTAGTGTCATCGCTGGAACTGGAACTCTCTGAACCAGATTCACCTGTGTCATTGCTGCTGGAGTTATTATTACAAGCTGGAGATGGACTCCTTACGATAGGTTTAACTTCCAATGCACATATAGCCACAGGCCTATAAACAAAAGTTATCCAACGTTAATTTAAAAATAATAATAATTTTAAACATGTATGTCAAAAACTTACGGATTGCTTATTGGTTTTGGTTGATAATTTGTGGGATGAGTGACATCTTCATCACTGTCATCAGATAAACTTAAATCACGCTCTAAATCCCTGAAAAATAATATAATACACTAAGTTGAACTTGAAAATATATGTAATTGATACAGATTTTTTATTAATGCAACTTACATGGACTGCCTCCCAGAAGAATGCCTTTGTCTATCTGAAATATTTTCATAATTCATAAAACCATTAACTTAATATTTGAATTATTTGATATTCAAAAGGTTTAATTAAAATCAAATAAATATTTGATATTTATAAACTTAACATATATCCTATTTAATTAACAAAATATAACTTTTGAAAAAATAATGATATGAAGAAAACCTAATATTTCAAGCTTCCAACATATAGAGTTAATATAAATATCAAATAAGCCGAATATATGTAATGCAAAATTGCATTACAATAGCAATTTTTGTAAATAAAATAGTAAGTAATAAATTTCCAGAAAGTATGAATCATAAAGTACACAAAATTCAATACTCACAAATAAATATAATATAAATTATCACATTATAATCAACAAATAAGATATAGATCAAGGTGTAAAGTATAAAAATTCAATCAAGTACAAAAACATGTTTTTAAGTGGGAAAGTAACATTTATTAATTAATATGAACACATCTAAATTAACTTACATGTAGGACTAGGAATTGGACTTGGCTTCCGAGGACATGGTTCGAGCACCTAAAATGAGGATTTAAAATAATTTTGCCTTTGTTACATATCAATTAACTTATAATGAATAAAATTTTTTAAAATTCATCATTATACTTATTGAAATATAATAATAAATAAAATAATTACTTTTACAAATCCACTGTTAAATTCAAATTTGTGATCTATTTCTTTTCCCGGAGTAGCAGCAATAGAAGTTAGTGGGGTTAAGGGCAATGAGGTCATTTCCTGAAAAATTAATATCATATCAATATTTAATTTTTTAATAGCTTCATTAATATTGAATAGCTAAAGTATAAGTAAATTATATGGCATATATTGAATAATAATATTACCTTCAAAATAGTATCAACTTCATTACCACGCAGACCTACATCACAGTTATTCTGCAAATAGAATGTACAAGATTTTAGTTTCAATTATTTATTAAATATTAAATAAGCATCTCAAAAAATACAAATCTAATATTAGCAAATGCATGTAAAAACATTTTTGAATAATCAAACAGCATTCATCTACAGGCATAAATTTCAAGAGTGAAAGTTATTAAAATTATTGAGGTAAAAATATGTATGAATTTATAAAGGTATTTACAACTATTACATACCGCATAAGAAGAGGGCATCTCTCTCACCGTATTCTGATAGTTTCCCATATTAGTATTTAAGGTTAAATTTTTATTTAACCCATTCCTGTTATCAAGATTGCTAACAGAATATTTATTGGGCTGCATATGGTATGAAGAACTACTATTAGTTTTAACACTTGGTACATGTTTGCTGGTATCAATTGGGCAAGTAGGTTTGTAAATATTACTCCTATATGATGAAGAAGGTTTTAGAGTATTAGAAGACATCCGCTGAGATGTTGATCCAGGGCACATATTTCCAGTTGGCTTTTTAAATTCGGGTGGTTGAGATCTGTTCTGCATCCCATTACTGAGTAAATTTGAAGATGGTATTCCATCATGTTTATAACGCTTTTTATCATCCGTCCACAATCTATCGTAATTTCCTAATTTCCTCTGAATCTGTTGTCCCATATCATCAGTACATGATGGGCTTATCTGTATTAAAGTAATGCTTATCAAGAACATCCTCATAACTATACTAACTAAATGCAACATACATACTACTCAGCCGATAATAAAAAAACTTAAGTTAGCATAAACTTTCACTATGTTTAAGAAATCCCTGACATATACTATTAAAACATCGAGTTTGTGTGGATAGATTATTACAAAAAAATTACATTTAAAGTAGCATCTGACTCTTGTACTTCAAAACAAAATGTTTATCTAAATCTCATCTCAATCGCAATTTAAATTTTGTGGATAAATACAATCATGAAATTTTAACCTGTTTCATATTAATTAAAATATTTTTGATTATTTATAATAAATGACTGGTATGACCCTTATGACCCTCCATAAGCTCAAATATATATCAATAATTAAACATATCTTACTTTAACTGGAGCATCAAATAATTGGTGTTCTGGTTCAGATTCACGTTCGGCTTGTAGTGACATATGAGCTCTGGCTTGTCTTTCTCTCTCGCGAATGCGATCCCTTTCCGCACTAAAAAAAAAATTACCTATTTATCCCAGAAATGATTATTTTTAGGCAACATAAAAAATGATATGTCAAAAACTTACCACATATTACTACAATAAGATCAAATCCAGTTATTCTATATACTGCACTAAACAATACTTTTAATTCAATCAGTTTTCAATAGAAGCTTTCCATTCCCATTTTTCATACAATGACAAAACTCTGAAAAGTGATCATTAAAGACAATAAATGTACATACATCCAAGCTTAATTAAATTTAATGAAAATGCACTTCAAAACAACTTAAAATTAACCCAATTTGCTCTCAGCTCTCAAAAGAAAACAAATGGAATGGTATTTAAATGTCACAAGCAGTTGTCAAAAAAATAAGGTGTATGTATACACATATTAATTTATGGTAAAATTAAAATTGACTAAGCTAATATATTAATATTAATTGAAATATATAGTGCTCTTTTGTAAAAATACTAACAAAAACTTATAAAATGTATGTACATAAATTATAGTAATGTCAGCTTTTACTAAATCAGGTATTGTAATAAAATAATGGATATGTATGTATAAAAAATAATCACCTGGGGCGTTTCTAAATTGAACTTATACTGATTGAATTATATATTGAATAAGTTTTGCATTAAAATTTTGTTGAATGAATTTTACAATATTGATCATATTTCTATCATTTAATTATTCCGATATATTGGCATTAAGGCCGATAAAAATTATACTTTCGATTATAATATCACTTTCAACTTACCGTGGTTTCTTCATGATAAATGATTTATACTATAAATAGTTAAATATAAACCACATATGTCTTGAAAACGAACATATTCCATTTCATTAATATTCCACAAAACACTGCGCACTTAACATGTCCTTATATTTCGGAATATGATTTATTAAATTCCGTCGTGCATCATCTATTACTTATACTGGTCCTGTAAAAGATAATGTTAGACATTTATGAGAGGCAGCTTAATAATTCCGTATGAGTCGGACGTTTCAAGTTATGTATACTTTTCAACAAACTGCTTTTCCATGTTACTTAATTATATCGCAGTACTTTTCTACATCAGAATTATTGTCCATAACACACGCGAAAATTATACTTGACACAGCTCATAAAAAAAACCAGTAGGAATCACTAAATGACATTCATTTAAAAAAAATACTTTGCACAACAACCTCATTTTCCAAAATGTACAAACTACATAAATGAGTAGAAATCAACGTACCTGAACTTGCATTTAATTACAAGATTATAACCACCATTAGAACGCTAAACTACCAATATGGCAAACCATAAACAACTCGAATGCGCTTTCATTTTCGTTTTCATTATAAATATTCTATATTTATTTATTATTATAATTTATGTTCATTATAATTATATTTATATATATATATATATATATATATATATAATTAATTAAATATTCGTGCTGCATAAGTTGCATACCCCTTTTGTTTTTTTTATTTGTTTCAGTTTTACTCCATACTTTCGCTTTCATGCTTACTTAGAAACGCTTAGAATATTTTGTGACATATATTGTTTTTATTTAATTGCAATTAAATGTCTGCAATTAAGAATATATTTCGAAAGCGAACAAATCGAATAAGATCCTAGATAAATAAGCATAATCTTTGCCTAATGTTAAGTACTTAATACTGTGAACATATGCTCGGGACATGATTTCCAACATAATAATAAAAAATTTAACTGTTTATAAACTATTAAAGAGATATAGTTTTTTAATTTTGAAATATTGAAATTTATTACACATTTTAAACTAATTAAGCTAATATCAAATCGTCCATATACTAATTATTTAAAAAAAAATTCTTTATTCTCTTTTCTTCAACAGTTGATAACAAACTAATTAATCATTTCACAGACAATATACAGACATTATTAGAACAAAAGCACGTTATTTATACTATAAATTTTGTCATTTCTGTTTTCAGTAATGATAAAATGAACATGGTAAATTCATTTATTTCATAAATTGAATAATGCTTTAGAAGAATGTTTTATTAGTTCATCCTTGGAGAAAAAAAATAAAATACATAAAAAATGGAAAAATTATCATTGTCACCAAATAATTCATGCAATTATTAATTTACAGGCTATTGAAGCCAGTGCAACAAATTATAAATTGATGTAAAATTCAACAATAACATCAACAAATAAACAAGAAAGTTGTCAGTTCAATAGAATCCATCATAATAAAATTAAAACTCATCAATATCAAGAAGGCTTTTAACTAAATTATTAAAAAATATATAAGACTTATATTGTTTTAAATTTAAATATTAAGAATAAAAAACATTTTTTTAAATATTTATTTTATTATTTCAATGGGTATGTGGGGTTTTACATTTATTCAACAATACTTCACTTTTGCAACTTATAAAGAACTACTTATGTATAAAAACTCTATTTCATCAAATGCTTTGATAATGGTCTTTTAAAACCAATAATACTGGTAACATTATAACATATAGATATTGTTAATACTATCTCAAGAGAAGTTATAAAAATTAACTGTGATATCTTAATTTCATAAATTAAATTTATACAAATTTACAAGCTAATCACTGGAATTATTCACGCTATTTTAAATGACTGATAATATATTTATAAAATAAAAATGTAATGTTTGTGCATATCATTACACAACAGTTTACCAATATTCTAAATTGCTTCTTTATGAATATCATTACATATATACAATATTAAAATCAAATTAAACTGTAGGATGCAAGATGTCATTTGCAAAATGATATCCATAGCCACGAAATGCATGATAAATTATTAACGATTTATTATAGTGATATATTTATTAGTTTAGGTTGTTATTTACCATGTATTTTTACTATTTGAAAACAACGGCTCATTCGAATAACTATAAAGAGAATCTCAAATCTACAAGTAAAACTCCATCAATTTCATCACTGCAGATGTAAAATATAAATAAATATTATAAATTAATATCATAAAATATTTTACTTTAAAACATAGACTTGACAAACCAAGCTATATTGTTTTGATCAATAAAATATCATAAGTAATGTAGTTTTAAAATATAAAAATCATTTAAACAAAAAACTTGTTAAACTATCAATTAGTTTATTGTTTAATCAATATAAATATGATTATTAGACTCATTCTTTGGATCATTTAACTATTTCATGAATATTATTCACATAGTATGAAAATATGTCTATTATATATGAAGATGTACATCCCTGAAAAGCCTTGGCTTGGATTTGCTTTGCAATACACATCCACACAAAAGTATCTGAGTAAATTCAAATTTAGGAAATATCTAAATGTCTCTATGAAAAATAAAAAGACAGCTGTGAATCTTAAGTAATGAACTGAGGTAACTTTATTGTATATTTTTATATTATTAAAAATGTTCAGGTATTTAAATATGGCAATTTGATGATTTTGTTGATCTATGTAGTATTATGAGATGATATTTTGTTTTAGAACTTTTTCTAGACAATATAAATCTAAAGAAAATGTTCTAAAACTAATTTTATATAAGATTATTAGATATTTAACTAATTAATGAACTAGATATATACACAAAACAACCATTCATCTCAAAACATGAGAGAACAATTAATGCTATCATTTACATACATCATTTACTGATTTGACCTGTATTCAACTATATAACCGATAACAAATTCAAATTTTGTGCTTCATTTAAAATAAAACATGAATCGAGATGTCCATACTTTAATTACATATAATATGCAACCACACCACTCATTAGAGAGAGCAATTTCACCAAGAATAAAAAGGTATTAACATTTAAGCCATATAAATATTCCATAATAAAACAATAACATAAAAATCATAAAATATGTAATATATGTATGTATTGTAAAAATCAATTGTTATGATTATATACAATATAATCATAACACTATGACTAAAAGCTGCTCAAAATTTAACTTAGGTGGCCGCTGAATTGAAATTCCACTTGTTCCTCAGAACGCAAAGCTCCGCTATTTTGTAACACTCTACATCAAAGTAGATTTTGGTCCCTGCATTCGTATTAATGTGATATTCCTGTATTATTTACCGAAAATCAAATTAGCAAAAATGATAAGCCAGCAAACAATACCAGCACTCTTATGTGTGGAAAATTATTTTTTTTCTTTTATTTTATATATTTAAAGAAACTATTATCAAATCTATCACACAATATCTCCATATTTCGATCATATCATTCAGCGATTGCTCCATCTCTGAAGAAAATTTTGTTTAATCTTATTTTAAGACTATTGGATACCAATAGTTAGTTAGTTTTGGTTTAGTGCTGTAAGTAGTATGAGTATATTTACTGAGCCTGTGAGGGTGCCCTTCTTGTGACAGGACATGGACTAGTAGCTCCACTCTGATATCAAGATTTCACTAGGTCAGCATCAGTTCTTCTATCTGTTGCCATTAACAGCAAATTCTTGAATTCGACCTCTAATGTTTGACGAGCCTAAATTTGAAAATCAACAATATATGAAAAGATAATGAAGAATATTTGATATATTAAAGGAAATCCATTAAATTAAAATATTAAACAAATAATAATGATGCATATGCAACTTTAGAAAGAATTCCAATAAAATAATATCTTTTAAACCTAACAGAAGTTAAGAAAGCTAGCATGTATTTTTCCCAAAATTATTGTAGTTTGGTTAATAATTTTCTTAATAATGGAATAAAAACATACCTGTATATTTTGTGTTGGTATCTGCAATGCCAAGGCCATACTGTTAGCATCAAAACTTTCATCTAGAGCAATCAAAGCACCATGAACCCCAGATTCGAGTAAATTATTTCCAAATTCCTGAAACACAAAATAATAAAAATTATTTTCGGAAAAATCAATTGTATTACTAAAAACTAAATTAAGCTCACTTTTAACCCAATACTACTAATCCATCTTATTATACGTTCATTGCTCCAGACTAAGACATCAGACACCATAGTCTCTGTCATTTTTCTTCTTTCCTCTAGCGCTGTGCGATCATAGTTCAGTCGTTTCAAACATGAAATACCATACTGAAGACTAGTTCTAAAAAAATACAATGATTTTGTGTCAATTGTATTATAGCTTGTTTTTATGCAGATAAATATGTATATATCATATTATCTTTTTATCCTACCTATGAAAACTATCGACCATTTTTAACTGTCCGCGCAAATCTTTCTTATTTAAATGGTCTAGCATTCTTGCGTCCACAAGACATTCCATAAACGTAGTTCTGTACTGAGGTAAACCAAGACCAGGAAGCCAATAATTGCCTATCCATTCGTGATTCATGTCGCCAAAGGCTAATGTTGTGCGCGATGTCTGAGGAGCTGACGGTGAAGTCAAAGATACCATTTCTTGTATTGCTAAACGTAATTTCAGCCTATGTAGAGGGTTACTTATGCCTAAAAAATAATTCATTTATTAATTAATAATATTAATAATATATATATATATATATATATATATATATATATATGAAATTTTATATTTATTAAATTTCATTTATTCGTTCTTTTAACCATTTTGCTACGACAGTGTTTTCCGCAGGAATGGGACGACTGTGCGAGCTAGAAAGCCGCCCAACTATTAGTTACGCAAAATATTTCAAGATTTTCCAAAAATAAAGTTTTGTTTATTTCCAATAAAGAGAAATTGAAACGATCAATTACCTATTTCTCGCTGAATTTCCGTGTCACTCAAGGCGCTCATAATCGCTCCAGATTTTACATTAGCCCTGCATGCAGCAACATACCAAGCGGGCATTCCCACCCACAGTTCCAACCAGGCAACTATCGTCGGCCCGTTCCACAAGGCAAATGGCGTGCCAGCTTTCATAGCTTCAGCTAACAGTTCATGTCTATAGTCATGCTCTCTGAATAAAAAAAATCGAAAATAAATGACAATAAATTTAAAAAAAATGTTACTTGTGCAATAATATTCCTACTTCTTTTTCTGCCTTCCATAATCTGCCTTCTGTTGCGTAACTTTCCCTGAATTACTCATTGCATCCACATTGTCTTCTCCGATGGTTGATCCAGCCAATGATAAACCACTCATGGAGTTCATACTTAATGAACCATCTCCTGGCATCCCTGAATCTTTCCCTTTCACCTATACAAA